ACACAGGGTTTCCCATGTTAGCCAGGCTGGTCTTGAACTCCTGACCTAGGTGATCCACCCACCTCAGCCTCCCAAAGTGCTAGGATTACAGGCATGAGCCACTGCACTTGGCCTTATTTTTAAATTTTTGTCTGCTTTTTTTTTTTTTGAGACGGAGTTTCGCTCTTGTTACCCAGGCTGGAGTGCAATGGCGTGATCTCGGCTCACCGCAACCTCCGCCTCCTGGGTTCAGGCAATTCTCCTGCCTCAGCCTCCTGAGTAGCTGGGATTACAGGCATGCGCCACCGTGCCCAGCTAATTTTTTGTATTTTTAGTAGAGACAGGGTTTCACCATGTTGACCAGGATGGTCTCAATCTCTTGACCTCGTGATCCACCCACCTCGGCCTCCCAAAGTGCTGGGATTATAGGCATGAGCCACCGCACCTGGCCAATTTTTGTCTGTTTTAAAAAATAAAACATTGATGAACAACATTAAGTGAAATCTCCCTCAAAACTCCCTTCAACCTTGAGATAAGTACCGGTAACTTCGGTGCCATGTTATTGTTACGCGTCAGTGGGGATAAATTGCTTGGTATGATGGTGTACTCCTCTAGTTCCAGCCTCTTGGGAGGCTGAGGCAGGAATAATGCTTGACCCAGGAGGTTGAGGCTGCAGTGAGCCTATGATTATATCAGTGCACTCCAGCCTGGGGAACAGAATGAGACCTTGACTTAAAAAAAGCAGTGGGGATGGGCAGGGCAGGGTATAAATGCTCTGGATTGGTTTTATTTAATGAAAATAGCTTTTTAAAAATTTTTATTTTAAAATGTTTATTTGTATTACATGTTTTACACTGAACACTTCAGCAAAGAAAATAATTATAATAGTTTCAAAATGCATTTCCTGGGTTCAGTAATATCCTTGAAAATCAATTACAATGATCAATATCTAGAAATATATGTAGACAAAGTTAGCTAATAAATAAAATAAGTCAAATGACTACGTAAACTATAAATTTCAGGGATGAGGGATCATATGTGATCAGTTAAGTCAGTCACTCTGCCACTTTTTTTTTTTTTTTTTTTTTGAGACGGAGTCTTGCTCTGTCGCCAGGCCCCAGGCTGGAGTGCAGTGGTGCAACCTTGGCTCACTGCAGTCTCCGCCTCCTGGGTTCAAGCAGTTCTCCTGCATCAGCCTCCCTAGTAGCTGGGACTACAGGCGCACGCCACCACGCCCAGCTAATTTTTGTATTTTTCAGTAGACACGGGGTTTCACCATATTGGCCAGGATGGTCTTGATCTCTTGACCTCGTGATCCGCCCACCTCAGCCTCCCAAAATGCTGGGATTACAGGCTTGAACCACCATGCCTGGCCTACAGATAATCACCTTTAAAATGATAAAAGCAGGTTTCAAATGTGGTTCTTCTCTGGAGTGAGAAGGTGAAGATACACGTGGGTGATCTACTGATTTATCTTCTGAAAGTACTCTTTGGAAGCAGCTGGATTTGGCTTGACTGTAGGAGAATCCGGTGTGTCCAGTTCACTGGGCAGACCTCTACATAGGTTATTACATACTGGAATGCCTTCACCAAGAGGAGGATTTCAGCCCACTGGGAGGTTATTGACATTCAAGTCCTTGATGACTTCACCGGGGTCAATTCTGAAGAGACCTCTTAGTGCAAGGCCAGGACCTTCTAACAGCACACCATAGTCTCAGGAAATTTGCGTAGTTAACTCTGGTAAGAGGGCGATGTTCATGTGGCCCAAACCGCTATTCTTTCTTTCTTTTTTTTTGAGATGGAATCTCGCTCTGTCGCCAGCCTGGAGTGCAGTAGCTGGATACTCTACTCACTGCAAACAGATTCCCAAGTAGCTGGGACTACAGGCACACGCCACCACGCCCAGCAGAGACAGGGTTTCACCATGTTGGCCAGGATGGTCTCAATCTCTTGACCTCATGATCTACCCACCTCAGCCTTCCAAAGTGCTGGGATTACAGGTGTGAGCCACCGCTCCTGGCCCGCCATTCTTCCTTGGTGTATTTATCCAGGCAGTCTGGCTAAAGTGGGAATCCACTGAGGCTGCAACAACTTCACAGTTCACATCATGAAATTCCTTAGCGATGAGTGAGCCGAGATTGTGTCGCTGGACTCCAGCCTGAGCAACAGAGTGGATCAGCTCTGTCTCAAAAAAAAAAAACCAAAGGATAGAAGAAAAGCACCAAATATTTCTCCTTAAAGTCATCAAGGCTGAGGTCTTTGAACTCTCAATTAACAATGGCTGTACCCTTAAAATAGGGTGCATGGTGGGTGATATCGGGTGCATGGTATGAGGAACTGGTGCTAGAGAATTTTGCTTGACTGAACCAGACCACAATATATTTGTCAAGCTCATTCTTCCAGAAGCAGCAGGCCTGAGGGCTGTAGTGGCAGAAATGCCCCAAGGACTGGCAGTCATATGTCAGACAACTGAAACTCAGAGCACCCTTCCCACAGCAGCTGCCATTTTCAGTGCACGTGTTTTATTTTTTTGAGACAAGGTCTCACTCTATCGCCCAGGCTGAAGTGCAGTGGTATAGCCTCCAGTCACTGCAGCCTCAACCTTCCAGGCTCAAGCCATCCTCCCACCTCAGTCTCCTGAGTAGCTGGGACTATAGGTGTGCACCACCATGCCCAGCTAATTGTTTACTATTTTGGATAGAGATGAGTTTTGCCATGTTGCCCAGGCTGGTCTTGAACTCCTGGGCTCAAGTGATCCTCCTGCCTAAACCTCCCGAAGTGCTAGGATTACAAGTGTGGGAGCACATTTTCTCTAAAAATCAATCAGTTAAATAAAAAAAGTAAATAGTTTTTCTCTCCCTCTGATTATAACAGTAAAATATTACCAGAGTTACTGGTGCTTTCATGGGGTTGAATGGAGTTATGATGGGTAGTTCACTTAATGTTGTTCTTCAATGTTTTAATTTTTTTTTTTTTTTTTTTTTTTTTTTTTTTTTTTTTGAGACAGAGTTTCGCTCGTTGCTCAGGTTGGAGTGCAATGGCGCAATCTTGGCTCACTGCAACCTCTGCCTCCCAGATTCAAGTGATTCTCCTGCCTCCTGAGTAGCTGGGATTACAGGCATGTACCACCATGCCTGGCTAATTTTGGATTTTTAGTAGAGATGGGGTTTCTCCGTGTTGGTCAGACTGATCTCGAATTCCAACCTCAGGTAATCCACCCGCCTCAGCCTCCCAAAGTGCTGGGATTACAGGCGTGAGCCACCATGCCCAGCCCATGTTTTAATTTTTTACAACAGACTTAAAAGTTTTTTAAATACATGTAATTGGCCGGATGCAGTGGCTCACACCTGTAATCCTGTCACTTTGGGAGGCCAAGGTGGGTGGATCACTTGAGATCAGGAGTTTGAGACCAGCCTGGCCAACATGGTGAAACCCCATCTCTACTAAAAAGACAAAAATTAGCAGGGCATGGTGGTTCACGGCTGTAATCCCAGCTACTCGAAAGGCTGAGGCACAAGAAAATATAGGAAGGTACAAAGAAACAAGTAATAATTATCTATAATACCATTTTCCAGAGGTTGTCATTGTTAACATGGGATATATCTTCTTCCACCCATCTTTCTCACATATTTTTATCTGTATATGCATTTTTTTTTCCAAAATGTTGGATGATAGGCTGTTTTGTTTTGTTTTTGAGACAGAGTTTCACTCTGTCACCCAGGCTGAAGTGCAGAGTGCAATGGCGTGATCTCAGCTCACTACAACCTCCACCTCCCAGATTCAAGCAATTCCCCTGCCTCAGCCTCCCAAGTAGCTGGGATTACAGGCACACACCACCATGCCCAGCTGATTTTTATACATATATGTGTATATATATATATATTTTTTTTTTAGTGGAGACAGGGTTTCACCATGTTGGCCAGGCTGGTCTCGAACTCCTGATGTCAAGTGATCCACCCACGTTGGCCTCCCAAAGTGCTGGGAGGATTACAGGCACGAGCTACCACGCCTGGCCTTTTTTTTTTTTTTTTTTTGAGACAGTCTCGCTTTGTCGCCCAGGCTGGAGTGCAATGGCGCCATCTCAGCTCACTGCAACCTCCACCATCTCCTGGGTTCAAGCAACTCTCTTGCTTCAGCCTCCTGAATAGCTGGAATTACAGGTACCCACCACCATGCCAGCTAATTTTTGTATTCTTTTTTTTTTTTTGAGACAGAGTTTCGCTCTTGTTACCCAGGCTGGAGTGCAATGGCATGATCTCAATTCACCGCAACCTCTGCCTCAGCCTCCCAAGTTGCTGGGACTACAAGCATGCACCACCATGCCCAGCTAATTTTTTTTTGTATTTTTAGTAGAGAAGAGGTTTCGCCATGTTGACCAGGATGGTCTCGATCTCTTGACCTCGTGATCCACTCGCCTCGGCCTCCCAAAGTGCTGGGATTATAGGCGTGAACCACCACACCCGGCTAATTTTTGTATTTTTAATAGAGATGGGGTTTCACCATGTTGGCCAGGCTGGTTTTGAACTCCTGACCTCAGGTGATCCGCCAGCCTCAGCCTAGCAAAGTGCTGGGATTACAGGTGTGAGCCACTGTGCCCAGCCGGCTGTTTTTCTTTTTTCTTTTTTTTTTCTTCTTCTTTTTACCTGAGAAGCAGCTGGCTGTCCTTCAGTCTGCTTGTTTCACTTGGCAATGGGGAACATCTTCCAATTAAATATATCCATCTCTGAAAACATCACTTTTGATGACTTCATACTGTTGTATCGTGAATATACCACATATTTAACTAGTTCACTACTATGGAACACCTGGATTGTCCTGTTTTTGTTTTTACAATGTTATGAAGAATATAGTAGAGAATATTTGTGTAACAGTGTCTGGGTACATCCATTATTCTGTTCTTGGGATACATTTTGAAAAGTGGAATTGTTGGGCAATTCCTTTTACCTATTTCTAGGGTTATTGATAAATATCTAATTGGCACAGGAAAATGTTTGCCATTTCTGATGTGTAGTATTTGACAGACTTTTTCAGGACAGGAAGATGCCACCCAAGCGCATAGCTAAAAGAAAGTCACCCCCAGAAGATGCCATCCCCAAAAACAAGAAGGTGAAGGGTGAGTTGGCCTTGGCCTCTTTGTGGGTACAGATGGCCCCTTGAAACCAGAAGAACCCAGGGCTGGGCTCCTTCCTTCCTGACACTTGAAGCTGAAGGGTATGGATGTGCAGAGACCCCACCCAGCTGGAAGGTTTCTTATAGCAAATTCAGTCGCACCCTCTGGGAATCACAAAGTGGGCAGAAACTCCTCTCAAGGTACTCAGGCAGTACTGGCAAAAAAACTAGACTCGGGCCGGGCGCGGTGGCTCAAGCCTGTAATCCCAGCACTTTGGGAGGCCGAGGTGGGTGGATCACGAGGTCAAGAGATCGAGACCGTCCTGATCAACATGGTGAAACCCCGTCTCTACTAAAAATACAAAAAATTAGCTGGACATGGTGGTGCGTGCCTGTAATCCCAGATACTCAGGAGGCTGAGGCAGGAGAATTGCCTGAACCCAGGAGGCAGAGATTGCAGTGAGCCGAGATCGCGCCATTGCACTCCAGCCTGGGTAGCAAGAGTGAAACTCCGTCTCAAAAAAAAAAAAAAAAATCTAGACTGTAGGGCTTCACCCCAGGCAGTGATGCATTATGATGATTAGGACCACTGACTTTCCGACATGGGGTTCAAGTCCTGGCTCTGCCAACTTTCTAGCTGTGTAACCATGGGCAAGTCACTTAACCTTGCAGTTTAAATTATCCACTTTATAAAATGGAGGCGTCCAGAGCAGTGCTGGCCTCTCTGGGCTGTGTGAGGATGAGATGAGATAATGGCCTGGCGGCATTTGAGGGAGGTGGCTGTGGTTTCCTCTGTCCTGGGCCCCGGGGAGGGGACAGGGAAGAGAGAAAAGCCACCACCAATCTGGGAGGGGGAGTGTGGAATCATGCTCAGAGTGTCTTTTGCAGGTGCGAGAGCTGCGGCATTTTTTGCAGCCTCCTGCTGCGTTCCCGGCGCCCACTCCTGCCAAGGTGCCTGCGGCCCGGGCCCTCCTGACCAGAAAACCCGACCGGGTGGCTCTGCGCCCAGCTAGCCCTCTGTGGTGCCGCCGAGGGCCAGGCAGCTGTGGCCACACTCCCAGGGAGGGGCTGAGTGCCATTGGCTGCCCAGGGCTGCAGGCGGCCGCCATTGGCCCACAGAGGGTTCCGGGTCCCCCACTGGTTGGCACGTACCTCCCTCAAATGCCACTGTCCACTCTTCCTCCTGCCCCTCCTGTCTCTCTGCTGGTTGGCAGAGGGAGGGCTCTGTTTCCACAGTGATTTGCCCAGGAGCTGAACTTATTCACTGGTGGACGCCCTGGGCATGGAGGAGAGCTAGGATGGAGATGGGGAACTGTGCTCCGACCCACGTAGTCTCCATTGCTTTAGGTGCAGGCTCTACTATTATAGTAATTAACTTTTCTTTTGAGAAGGAGTCTCTCTCTGTCGCCCAGGCTGGAGGGCAGTGGCATGATCTCGGCTCACTGCAACCTCCACCTCCTGGATTCTGCTGCCTCAGTCTTTGGAGTAGCTGGGATTACAGGCACACGTCACCGTGTCCAGCTTATTTTTGTATGTTTAATAGTGATGGGGTTTCACTGTGTTGGCCAGGCTGGTCTCAAACTCTTGACCTTGTGATCTGCCTACCTTGGCCTCTCAGAGTGCTAGGATTACAGGCGTGAGCCACCATGCCAGCCAGTATTAATTAGCTTTTTTATTTTGGGACAGTTACTGAACTTCTCAAAGGCTCTGTTTCTTTTTCTATAAAATAGGATCCTAAATATGGACCTTGATTTTGGAGGACTACAAAATAATTCAGAATTAGAGTAAGCAGTCAGCAAAGGGTAGACATTATTATCTGAGTCCTGACTTTTAACACCATGGCTCCAGACCAATAACTTACAGCTAATTAGGAAAGCTGAATGCTGTCTTGTGTCCTCAGTTTTCTTTCCTGCTTTCTTTCTTTCTTTTTTTTTTTTAGATGGTGTCTCACTCTGTCTTCCAGGCTGGAGTGCAGTGGCATGATCTCAGCTCACTGCAACCTCCACCTCCTTAGTCCAAGAGATTCTTCTGCCTCAGATTCTGAGTAACTGGGACTAGGGGTGTGCACCACTATACCTGGCTAATTTTTGTATTTTTAGTAGAGAAGGGTTTCACCATGTTGGCCAGGCTGGTCTTGAACTCCTGGCCTCAAGGAATCTGCCTGCCTTGGCCTCCCAAAGTGCTGGGATTACAGGTGTGAGCCACCACATCTGGCCCCTTTCCCTCTTCACCAAGATTCATTTCACAGTATCTAGTGTCTCCTTGTTTCCATTTCTCTCCTTTTGTATGAATAATATGCTGAGTTTTTAATATTTACAAAAACCCTGTGAGAGAGGTGCTTTTGTTGTCCCCATTTCACAGATGACAAAACATAGGCTCTATGTTTCGAAAGTTCACACTAATGGTCTGTGGCAGAGGAGGGGCTTCCACCCAGGTTTGTGTGGTCCCAGAGCCTGTGACCTCTCCTCGCTGTCGTCATCTTACGCACTCGGGCTATCTTCTTCACTCTTCAGTCTCACACAGGTCCCACAGCACAGAACCCGGCTTGGTGCTGACACTGGGCCAGGGCGATGTGGGCCAGCTGGGGCTGGGTGAGAATGTGATGGAGAGGAAGAAACCGGCCCTGGTATCCATTCCAGAGGATGTTGTGCAGGCTGAGGCTGGGGGCATGCATACCGTGTGTCTAAGCAAAAGTGGCCAGGTACGTGTTGGGAGCTGGCACAGCACTGGACAAGGCCTGGGGTTGGGTGGCTTGGGGCAGGGCTTTTGAACCACACATGTTCACTGTGGAAATGGAGCTGGCTAGTCAAGCGGGGAGTGGCCTACATGAGAATAGACTGCGAGGCCAGACTTTGTATTAATGAGGGCATCCTGGGCACAGGTCTACTCCTTCGGCTGCAATGATGAGGGTGCCCTGGGAAGGGACACATCAGTGGAGGGCTCGGAGATGGTCCCTGGGAAAGTGGAGCTGCAAGAGAAGGTGGTACAGGTATCAGCAGGAGACAGTCACACAGCAGCCCTCACCGAGGATGGCCGTGTCTTCCTCTGGGGCTCCTTCCGGGTAAGTCTGGGTCTGGAAGTCTACATGGGGCCTGAAAGGCAGAATTAATTTGTGGGGTCCCAAAGATAATCCATTTCCATACTCCCATGGTACTTACTGGTGAGGAGATGAAAGGCCACAGGTAGAGCTGAGGTCCAAACCCAGGATGATAGCTTCTTCATGTGGGCCTGTCCACACCACTGGCTGCTTCCTTGAATCTGATATCATCAAGTGTATGTCCTGGGAAGAGGGTAGGTCAAGGATGCCCCTGGGTTGAGGCTGATCCAGGAAGCCTACTGTCTTCACCCATCTCCCTGCCTTCTGTCTTCCCGTCACCTTGCCAGCACTGCCTCTTCGATACTTCCCAGTAGTATGGGAATTTTTTTAATTTTTTTAATTGGATGGGGCAAGGAGGTGGGGAGGCAGGGATTGTCACATCTCAGAGTTTCCAAAGCAAAGAGGAATGTAGTTTAAAAAACAGATTCTGGGCCGGGTGTGGTGGCTCATGCCTGTAATCCCAACACTTTGGGAGGCCAAGGCGGGTGGATCACCTGAGGTCAGGAGTTCGAGACCAGGCTGACCAATATGGTGAAACCCCATCTCAATTAAAAAAAAAAAAATTTAAAAAAAAACAACAGATTCTGTTTGTTTGCTTGTTTTTGTTTCTTGAGACAATCTTGCTCTGTTGCCAGGCACCAGGCTGGGGTGCAGTGGTGCGATCTCGGCTTACTGCAGCCTCCACCTCCCAGGTTCAAGCAATTCTCCTGTCTCAGCCTCCTGAGTAGCTGGGATTACAGGCTCATGCCACCATGCCCAGCTAATTTTGTATTTTTAGTAGAGATGGGGTTTCATCATGTTGGCCAGGATGGTCTCAATCTCTTGACCTCATGATTCATCCTCCTCAGCCTCCCAAAGTGCTGGGATTACAGGTATGAGCCACTGCGCCTGGCCTGTTTTTTTTTGTTTTGTTTTGTTTTTTAGGACTGCCTGAATTCAACGAGTATTTATTGAGTGCCTATATTTGCTAGATATTTTTCCAGGTACTTGAGACACATCAGAGAACAAAACCAAGAGCCCTGCCCTCATGGGGCTTCCAGTCTGGCATTTATCGCCAGTTCACCTGCAGGCTACCTGGGGCCTGAGGCAAGTCACTGCACCTCTGTGCTTGGGTCCTCAGCTGCCCAATGGGAGAATAAGCAGACCTGGCTCAGACTGGATAACGTGCCTAGTGTACTGTGGATGCCAAACTGGATACCCTCAACCCACCATCCAGACAGTAGATAGGGCTAGAAGTTGATTTTTAATGATAAAGTACAATGGAGGGAGGGTAGAGGAGCAAAGCCAAGCTGTCTGGGGTGCTGTGGTGTTTTTTTTTTTTTTTTGAGACGGAGTTTTGCTCTTGTTACCCAGGCTGGAGTACAATGGCACAATCTCGGCTCACCGCAACCTCTGCCTCCTGGGTTCAGGCAATTCTCCTGCCTCAGCCTCCTGAGTAGTTGGGATTACAGGCACATGCCACTGTGCCCAGCTAATTTTTTGTATTTTTAGTAGAGACGGGGTTTCACCATGTTGACCAGGATGGTCTCGATCTCTTGACCTCGTGATCCACCCGCCTCGGCCTCCCAAAGTGCTGGGATTACAGGCGTGAGCCACCACGCCTGGCCTTTTTTTGTTTTTTTAAGATGAAGTTTCGGTCTTGTTGCCCCAGCTGGAGTGCAATGGCATGATCTGAGCTCACCACAACCTCCGCCTCCCAGGTTCAAGTGATTCTCCTGACTCAGCCTCCCAAGTAGCTGGGATTATAGGCATGCACCACCGCACACTGCTACTTTTGTGTTTTTAGCACAGACAGGATTTCTCCCTGTTGGTCAGGCTGGTCTTGAACTCCCGATCTGAGGTGATCCTCCTGCCTCGGCCTCCTAAAGTGCTGGGATTACAGGTGTGAGCCAGCGTGCCTGGCCCAGATTCTGTATTAAAATTGTTTTAAGGCCAGGTGTGGTGGTTCACGCCTGTAATCCAAGCACTTTGGAGGCCAAGGTGGGTGGATCACCTGAGGTCGGGAGTTCAAGACCATCCTGACCAACATGGTGAAACCTCATCTTTTTTTTTTTCTATTGTTTTAGTACTTTGATATTTAATTTTTTTGAAATGTCAGAAATAAAGGAATCTGATGATTTTCTTTCTTTTTATTTATTTATTTTTTTGAGATGGAGTCTTGCTCCATCTCCCAGGCTGGAAGGGCAGTGATGCAATCTCACTGCAACCTCCACCTTCCAGCTTCAAGTGATTCCTCTGCCTCGGCCTCCCAAGTAGCTGGGACTAAAGGCGCACACCACCACACCTGGCTAATTTTTGTATTTTGGTAGAGACGGAGTTTCACCATGTTGGCCAGCCTTGTCTTAAAGTCCTGACCTCAAGCAATCTACCCTCCTCAGCCTCCCAAAGTGCTGGGATTACAGGCATGAGCCACTGCACCCGACCAAATGGGTGTTTTTCTATCACGTCTTTTTATTTTTTTTTTTAAGCAACTCTCTCCACTAGAATATTTTGAATTTTTTATGGAGAATTTCAAACAGATGAAAGTAATCAGAATTATATATTTTTTTTCTTTTTTAATTAGAGATGAGGTCTTGCTCTGTCACCCAGGCTGGAGTGCAGTAGCATCATCATAGCTCATTGCAGCCTCAACTTCCTGGGCTCAGGTGATTTCTTCTACCTCAGCCTCTAAAGTAGCTGGGACTAGTAGGCTTGTGCCACCATGCCCAGTTAATTTTTGTATTTATTTTGTACGGACAGGTTTTCATCATGTTGCCCAAGCTGGTCTTGAGCTCAAGCGATCTACCCACCTGGACCTACCAAAACACTGGAATTACTGGCATGAACTACATGCTTGTAATTACATGCCTGGGCCAGAATAATATATTTAACTCCCATATACTTGCCACACAGTTTCAATAATTATCAACTTGTAGCCAGACTTGTTTATCTCTATTTGCATCCACTCTCTGACTTCTTGATTATTTTAATGCAAGTCACAGACCATAAATGATTTTAGTCATAAATATTTGACTGTGTGGCCCGGCTCCTGCCCACTTCTCCATCCCCATCTGCTACCACTGCCCTTCTCTGGATTTCACTGGTATGGCGCAGGCAGGACTGGCTGATAAGTGCCTTGTCCCTCCCTTCCAGGACAATAACGGTGTGATTGGACTGTTGGAGCCCATGAAGAAGAGCATGGTGCCTGTACAGGTCCAGCTGGATGTGACTGTGGTGAAGGTGGCCTCAGGTGGGTCTGGGGGTATTTCCTTGCGGCAGGATTTGGAAAACCTTGGTTCTGGGGCTGGCCCAGCCTTCGGCCTTATAGATATGGCCTGCATCCCTTACCTTCTCATCCTCAGGAAACGACCACTTGGTGATGCTGACAGCTGATGGTGACCTCTACACCTTGGGCTGTGGGGAACAGGGCCAGCTAGGCCGTGTGCCTGAGTTATTTGCCAACCGTGGTGGCCGGCAAGGCCTTGGTAAGTGGCCTTGGAACCTCCAGCTAGGCAAATTGGCAAGCCACTCCCGCAGTGAAGGCCAAAGGCAGGAAGGATTCTGTATGGTCAGGCTTGCATCAGGGTGACTTGCAATGTTAAGAATCTCAGACTTTGGAGACAGACTGCTCTGGTAGTTTTGCCACCTAATGGCTATGGGACCCTGAACATAGTTTCTTCATTTCTAAGCCTACCTACCTGTAAACCTACTTCATTAGGTTGCTGTGAAATTAAATGAGTTAATGAGAAGAATATCGGGCACATGGTAAGTTCCATGTAAATAATACCTCTAATGACTGTGGGATTCCAAGCAAGTCACTTGTATTCTCTTGATCTCAGTTTCCTTTTCTATAAAATAGGGATAAGAGTCTCTACCTAGCCTCCCAAGGGCTTTTATAATGGAGGAGAATTAAACTCGGGGTAGAGAGAGAAGGGAAGCCACATATGTCTGTCTTTCACTGACTGTGGCTTTCCCTCTGCCTACAGAACGACTCCTCGTCCCCAAGTGTGTGATGCTGAAATCCAGGGGAAGCCGGGGCCACGTGAGATTTCAGGATGCCTTCTGTGGTGCCTATTTCACCTTTGCCATCTCTCGCGAGGGCCATGTGTATGGCTTTGGCCTCTCCAACTACCATCAGCTTGGTAAGCCTAGCATCAGGCATGACCCAGTGGCCTGCGTTCCTGCCCTGGCTCTACCACTCATTCATTGTGCATCCTTTTTGGGGTCATCTAACCCCTCCAAGCCAAGCCACAGTTTTGTCATCTGTAAAGTGAGAATGTCCATATCCTGATGGGAGACGGTCTCACTGGGAGGTATTGAGAAGGGCAGCTCTCAAAACACCTTTACCCCTGATGCCTCTGGTTTTCCCCCCAGGAACTCCAGGCACAGAATCTTGCTTCATACCCCAGAACCTAACATCCTTCAAGAATTCCACCAAGTCCTGGGTGCGTTTCTCTGGTGGCCAGCACCATACAGTCTGCATGGATTCAGAAGGTAGGGCCTTTAGGTCCTTCTCTAGTTTGGGGGCGGAATGAATGTACCCTGGCCTAGGCCTAGCCAGATTCCTGAGACCATGGTCCTTGGAGCCTGGGTCTTTTCCATGAGTGTGCCACATGTGGGTCCATGAGAGTCACTCTCATCCTCCTAGAGTCCTGGTACTCTTCCAAGTATGAGTTCAGTCGTGGCCTATGTAGAGATTCTCCTAGGCCTCCTCCAGAAATGGGAAGCTCTTCTGATCCTGGGAGCAGGGGCACACTCCCATGGATGTGGGGACTCACCTAGCCTACCACCCGTTTTTCCTGTAGCACGCCCTCTGCTGTTGCTCATCTCTCTTCCTCCTCCCACAGGAAAAGCATACAGCCTGGGCCGGGCTGAATATGGGCGACTGGGCCTCGGGGAAGGTGCTGAGGAGAAGAGCATACCCACCCTCATCTCCAGGCTGCCTGCTGTCTCCTCAGTGGCTTGTGGGGCCTCTGTGGGGTATGCTGTGACCAAGGATGGTGAGTGGGGCCGACTATACTCCGTCTAGTTGGGACCCCGGGGTCATGATTCTTACCCAATTCCCCAGTAGGCTGTATGTTCACTCTCAGGTGGAACCAAGATGCAGAGAGCAGTGTTGGTGATGGCACTTTGTTCCTGCTTCTCAGAAGCTCTGGCATTGATGAATATGAAATGAGTAAACAAATTAGTAAAGGTGACTTAGGCAGAGGAGAGAAATAGCAAAGCATGAGATATCACTGAGGCCCAAGAAGGCAATGGGACTAGAACCCACATCTCCAGACTCCTAACCCAGCTGTTCTCTCCATCAGGGTAATCCCTTCGTATACCATCTTGTATTTGCCTGCTTCCCAGGAACTTGTACTTAGAATCTAAATCAGGGGAAAAAAGGCTTAGTAGTTAGAGTTGTAGCAAGTATAGCAGAGGAGGGTGTGAACAAGCGACCAGCAAAGCCTGAGTGGGTAAGGGGACAGCCATGGAGGTCCTGCAGAAGTCTGGAGCTGGCAAAGGTGCTTGACCTGAGATTATCTGGAAAGACATCCTGAGGAAGTGGAGCTTGCACTGTACCTTGAAGTTTCCATGCTTTGTGAAAAGCAAAGAATGCCATTCCAGGCAGAGGAACATCAGGGCAGTTTCAAAGGTGGCTGGTCCTGGGAACACAGGGTGGGGTAGGACCTCGAATGCCAAGCCTAGGAGCAGGGAGAAGCTTTTGGCAATGTGTACGGACTGTCTGGTTTATAGAGTTCTTTTTTATCCATCATCTCCTTGGGTTCTCCCAACTTCCTGAACTCCCAGAGGCTGGGACCTTGCCAGGGTACTATTGGCCAAGGCCGTAGTCCACCTCAATTTCCCAGGTTTCTCCTGCTGCAGAAAGTTGGGCTAGGGATCCTGAACACAGCTGTACCCATTTTTCTCCCTTGCAGGTCGTGTTTTCGCCTGGGGCATGGGCACCAACTACCAGCTGGGCACAGGGCAGGACGAAGATGCCTGGAGCCCTGTGGAGATGACAGGCAAACAGCTGGAGAACCGTGTGGTCTTATCTGTGTCCAGCGGAGGCCAACATACAGTCTTATTAGTCAAGGACAAGGAACAGAGCTGATGAAGCCTCTGAGGGCCTGGCTTCTGGGCCGCACAAACTCACAGAACAGGGAAGCAGTGACAGCTGCCGATCGCAGCAGGCCTCTCCCCAGCCCTGAGCACTGTGTCAGCTCCTGCCTTTTCCCATCAGCAGAACAGAATCATTTTCCTCTTTTTCTTCCTCCTCTTTGGAATTCTCCTGGGACCTACAGAATGAAGTGGGGGGATGGACAGGGGGTTTTTCGGAAGGAACATGGCTCACTCCAGAGCTATATGGTTGGATGTTTCTCCCCTCTTCCCCACCTTCCATAGTCCTGGCTGGCCCTGCTTTGCCTACTAGATAACCAAAACTTCCCTGGGGTTTGGTGCCTACTCTGAACAGTTGGGACTCCATCAAGCCCCATTCTAGTCATGTGCCCCTTTCCTGTCCCTAACAATCCACAAACAAACAAATGGTACAGTCATAAGACCCATCTGTCATGGACTCACGCCCAGAGGAACGTGCAGAAAAAGCAGAGCTGCATGGCTGTGGGCAACTCTAAGCCAAATATTTGGCTCAGAACAGGTGTTCATAGGACAAAAAAAGTGACCAAGAAAAAAGGGGTTCTCCCGGAAGCACAAAGCATACTCTTGCCCCTTGGGCACTGTCTGTTGTACACCCCACCCAACCATTAGGCTTCACCTGCAGCCAAGGGCCTGGAATTGCAAAGAGTAGCCACACTGGGTAAACCAGGGCATGGGGTGGGGAGAGAGGGTAGAGGGTTTTATAAACAAACTTTAATATTGAAAGAGGAAGGACTGAGGGAAGGACAGAGTGTTCAAGGAGCAGAGACTAGTCCTGAGATGGAAACAGTAACTTGTACAGTGGCTGAGAAAATAGAACATAGTTTTTGATTTTTTTTTAATTGTAAATATTTTGGAGGGGAGAGTGAAATCTTTTAACACTTTTAATAAATTTAGAGTTTTATAAAATAGGCCACTCGTTTTCTACACACTCCCTGCTTTTTATGGGAGCACATGCTGTGTGCCAGGCAGTACTGGGAGAAGCCGAATCAACTATAAACCTGGTGTCAAGGCTGCAACTTAAGTGATGTCAGGATTCCCTGAGGCGCCATCCAGCTGTCAATGTGGCTGTTACAAAGCCTTCAAATCTGTTAAGAAGGAAGAAAAAGGTTGAGTCTTGTTTGGGTATTTCTGATTTGGAAGTCACTGGATTATTTTAAAACGCTACATAGTGGCTGGGCACAGTGGCTCACACCTATAATCCCAGCACTTTGAGGCCGAGGCCGGCGGATCACAAGATCAGGAGTTTGAGACCCGCCTGGCCAATACAGTGAAACCCTATCTCTACTGAAAATACAAAAAATTAGCCCAGTGTAGTGGTGCATGCCTGTAATCCCGGCTAATGGGGAGACTGAGACAGGAGAATCACTTGAACCTGGGAGGTGGAGTTTGCATTGAGCTGAGGTGACACCATTGCACTCCAGCCTGGGCAACAAGAGCAAAACTCTATTGCAAAATAAAATATGCTGCATAATACAATAAAGGTGGGGTGGATGTTTTAACCTAATGCCAAACCAAGGTTTGGTTTGGTTTGGAGATGGGGTTTTGCTCTTCCTGCCCAGGCTGGGGTGCAATGGTGCGATCTCAGCTCACAGCAACCTCCGCCTCCCAGGTTCAAGCGATTCTCCTGCCTCAGCCTCCCAAGTAGCCAGGATTACAGGCGTGTGCCACCATGCCCAGCTAATTTTTGTATTTTTAGTAGAGACAGGGTTTCTTCATGTCAGGAGTTTCTTCATGTTGAACTCCTGACCTAGGTGATCCACCCACCTCAGCCTCCCAAAGTGCTGGGATTACAGGTGTGAGCTACCGTGCCTGGCTCCAAGTTTTTTGTTTGTAACAGTCTTGCTCTTTTTGCTCAGGCTGGAGTGCAATGGCACGACCTCGGCTCCCTGCAACCTCTGCATCCAGGGTTCAAGCGATTCTCCTGCCTTAGCCTCCCAAATAACTGGGACTACAGGCACATGCCACCATGCCCAACTAATTTCCGTATTTTTGTAGAGATGGGGTTTCACCATATTGGCCAGGATAGTCTTGATCCCTTGACCTCATGATCTGCCTGCTTTGGCCTCCCAAAGTGTTGGGGTTACAGGTGTAAGCCACTGTGTCCAGCCCAATTTTTTTTTTTTTTTTTTTTTTTTTTGAGAGGAAGTCTCATTCTTGTCGCCCAGGCTGGAGTGTTCTCCCAGGTTCAAGTAATTCTGCCTCAGTCGTCTGAGTAGCTGGGATTACAGGTGTCTGCCACCATGCCCAGTTAATTTTTCTTTTGTATTTTTAGTAGAGTTGGGGTTTCACTATATTGGCCAGGCTGGTCTTGAACTCCTGACCTCAGGTGATCCACCTGCCTCAGCATCCCAAAGTGCTGGAATTATAGGCATGAGCGACCACACCTAGCCAAACCAAGATTTTTTAATAAGTACATCTCTAGAAATGCTTACTGAGGCCAGAGAATTGCTTGAACCTAGAAGGCAGAGGCAGGGGAATTGTTTGAACCTGGGAGGCAGAGGTTGCAGTGAGTCAGGATCACACCACTGCACTCCAGCCTGGGTGAAGAAATGAAACTCCATCCCCAAAAAAATAAAATTGCTTACTGAGCCACTTATGTACTTTTTTCAGCAACTGATGTACTTATTTAAACATAATTAATTGTGTAATAATAAAAAGGAGGGCATGCACCTGGCACTTTTTTTTTTGAGACAGTCTCCCTCTGTCGCCGAGGCTGGAATGCAGTGATTGGTTGGGTCTAGGCTCCCTGCACCCTCCACTCCCTGGGTTCAAGCGATTCTCGTGTCTCCACCTCCTGAGTAGCTGGGATTACAGGTGTGCGCCACGATGCCTGGTTGATTTTTGGATCTTTAGTAGAGATGGGGTTTCACCATGTTGGCCTGGCTGGTTTCAAACTCCTGACCTCGAGTGATCACACTCCTTGATCTCGGCCTCCTGAAGTAATAGCATTACAGGCAGGAGACACTGCACCCACCTTGCACAATAACTACAATTACAATCACATGTATTACTGTAGATTTTCTTTTTTTCCTTTTTTTTTTTTTTTTTTTTTTTGAGACGGAGTTCCAGTCTTGTTTGTTGCCCAGGCTGGAGTGCAACGGCACAATCTCAACTCACTGCAACCTCTGCTTCCTGGGTTGAAGTGATTGTCCTGCCTCAGCCTCCTGAGTAGCTAGCTGGTATTACAGGCATGTACCACCACACCCTTGTATTTTTAGTAGAGACAAGGTTTTTGCATGTTGGTCAGGCCGGACTCAAACTTCTGACCTCTGGTGATCTTCCCACCTCGGCCTCCCAAAGTGCTGGGATTACTGTAGATTTTCACAAGCATTTGACCCACAGAAATCATACAGAGCTGACCTGTGCAATGCAGTGGTCGCTAGCCACATGTGGCTACTTACATTGAAATCAAAATGTATTTTTATTTCTATTTTATTTATTTTTTTTGAGACGGAGTTTCACTCTTGTTAGCCAGGCTGGAGTGCAATGGTGCGATCTCGGCTCACCACAACCTCCGCCTCCTGGGTTCAGGCAATTCTCCTGCCTCAGCCTCCTGAGTAGCTGGGATTATAGGACATGCCACCATGTCCAGCTAATTTTTTTGTATTTTTAGTAGAGATGGGGTTTCACCATGTTGACCAGCATGGTCTTGATCTCTTGACCTTGTGATCCACCCGCCTCGGCCTCTCAAAGTGCTGGGATTACAGGCGTGAGCCACCGCGCCCGGCCTATTTATTTATTTATGTTGAGACGGAGTTTCGCTGTTGTTACCCAGACTGGAGTGCAATGGCACAATCTCGGCTCACCACAACCTCCGCCTTCACCTTCTGGGTTCAAGCAATTCTCCTGCCTCAGCCTCCCGAGTAGCTGGGACTACAGGCACGTGCCACCATGCCCAGCTAATTTTTGTATTTTTAGTAGAGACAGGGTTTCACCTTGTTGACCAGGCTGGTCTTGATCTCTTGACCTCGTGTTCCACCCGCCTCGGCCTCCCAAAGTGTTGGGATTATAGGCGTGAGCCACCGTGCCTGGCCTCTATTTATTTATTTTTAATAGAGATGGGGTTTCACCATATTGGCCAAGCTGGTCCCGAACTCCTGACCTTGTGATCTGCCTGCCTCAGCCTCCCAAAGTGCTGGGATTTCAGGTGTGAGCCACCTCACCTGGCCAATTAAAATATTTTTAAGGTCCGGCACGGTGGCTCACGCCTATAATCCCAGCACTTTGGGAGGCCGAGGCAGGTGGATCATGAGGTCAAGAGATCGAGACCATCCTGGTCAACATGGTGAAACCCCGTGTCTACTAAAAATACAAAAATTAGCTGGGCATGGTGGCGCACACCTATAGTCCCAGCTACTTGGGAGACTGAGGCAGGAGAATTCTTGAACCCAGGAGGTGGAGGTTGCGGTGAGCCGAGATCACGCCATTGCACTCTATCGTGGGTAACAAGCGAAACTCCGTCTCAAAAAAAAAATATTTTTAAAACAAATTCAGTTGTACAAGCCACATTTCAAGTAGTCAGTAGTGACAAGCTACTACTTGTGGTATGGGACTGCTCAAATACAGGACATTTCTCATTGCAGAAAGTTACAGTGGATAGTGCTGATACAAAGAATCTGTACATGGTAACAGGAAAGTTTTATTAGCTCCAGGAGTATTCTTGGATGTCAGAGACTTGGAAAAATGAATATGATGTAAAAAAAAAAAAATGTAATACTGGCTCATGCCTGTAATCCTAGCACTTTGTGAGGCCGAGGCGGGCAGCTCACTTGAAATCAGGAGTTTGAAACCAGCTTGGCCAAGCTGGGCACGGTGGCTAATGCCTTTAATCCCATCACTTTGGGAGGCTGAGGCAGGCGGATCACCTGAGGTCGGGAGTTCAAGAGCAGCCTGACTAACATGGTAAAACCCTGTCTCTTTAAAAGTAAAAAAAAAAATTATTTTTAAAAAAGAAAGAAACCAGCTTGTCCATCATAGTGATGGCCATCTTTACTGAAAATACACAAAATTAGCTGGGCATGGTAGTGCACACCTGTAATCCCAGCTAATTGGGAAACTGAGGCAGGATAGTTGCTTGAACCCAGGAGGCAGAGGTTTCCATGAGCTGAGATCATGCCACTGCACTCCAGCCAGGGTGACAGAGGGAGACTCCGTCTCATTTTTATCTTTTTTCTTAAACTTTTTGTTTTGATGCAGGCACTATATTTTAGTATTTTCTTTGTGAAAAGTACTTGTATGTCTGCTACTCAACCCTCTCCCCCCAAATCCCTTGGGATTGTATTTATTGGAGATTTTTCACTCAGCAATATAATATGGCAGGGTGGAAGTACCTCTTTTTTATTTATTTATTTTTTTGAGACAGGATCTTTACTCGGTTGCCCAGGCTGGAATGCAGTGACATGATCACCACTCACTGTAGTCTTCACCTCCCCAGGTTCAGGTGATCCTTCCACCTCAGCCTCCCAAGGAACTGGGACTACAAGTGTGCGTAACCACACTTGGGCTAATTTTTGTATATTTCTGTAGTGACAGGGTTTTGCCACGACATCAAGGCTGGTGTCAAACTCCTTGACCCAAGTGATCTGTCTGCCTCGGACTCCCAAAATTCTGGGATTACAAGTATGAGCCACCATACCCACAAAAATACCTTATTGGCCAGGTGCTGTGGCTCCTGGCTGTAATCCCAGCACTTTGGGAGGCCAAGGTGGGCGGATCACCTGAGGTCGGGTGATTGAGACCAGCCTGACCAACATGACGAAATCCTGTCTCGACTAAAAATGTAAAAAATGAGTCGGGCATGGTGTCACGTGCCTGTAGTCTCAGCTACTTGGGAGGCTTGTTAGGTGCACTCTAAATGAAGAGACCACCTAAACTGGCTTTGTGTGAGGGACAAGGCTGTTTATTCACT